TTTTTTTTCCTGACAACTCAATGAATCAATTTATCAATTTGGTGTTGTTGTTTTTTTTAACTTTTAAACTCTATAAAAATGACCCCCACCACAAGTTTGGGTTTTGGATACAGCCACAAAGAGGGCCACTCAGGCACCTAGATATACAGTTCCTCCCAGGCACCTAGAGATACCAAAATCACAGAGAAGCTTCCCATGACTCTCTTCTACAACCCCTCTAAGTTTGGTGAAGATTGGGGTTTTCCAAAACCAGCTGCTAAAGGGCATTTTCCTGGGGGGCGGAGCTCTTTGCACATAAGTCAGACATCTGAAATCAAATCTTCACCAAATGTGAAGGGACTGTAGAGGAGAGTCAGGAGAAGCTTCCCTATGACGTTGGTGTCGCTAGGTGCCTAGGGGGGCATTTCATAGCCAAACCAATCGACAAATAAAAAAATCACTGATTCCATGATTTGTCGGGGGCATTGATTCGTATGAATACAAATCAATGAATTAGCGATTTTTGAACGAATTTGGTGATTCACGTTTTAATTCATGCCCATCTCTATCTGACACTCTTATCTGCCAAACCACAATGGGTCTCCATAAGACAGGCTGTTATCTCTTCATCATATGAGCTATTAACATGATGCCGATGAATGAAGACTCTCTCAGGCTCTCTTAAGGATCAGGTACTCAACATGGGTTAACCAGCCCCTCTTTCTTGGGGCATTCAGAGACCACCACGTAGGTAGCCCTAGGCCATGGAGATGGCAGGGCACACATGCCCATCATCACCCAAAAACCTCCGCTGACCTCAGCTGGCCCTATCCTAAGAGGCACAATGGGTTGCAAACTCCCAGCCTCAGACTTTGTAGCCAGACACCACAACTCACTGAGACTGTGTAGGTACATCACCAAACGACATCTGTCAGGATTTTACAAGAGGCAGCTGTGACAGTTAAAGTAGCATATAAATGCTGTTGTTGTTAGTATATATTCTAAAAAAGGGATAAATATTTCAAATAATACTGCCACCTATACAGTACTGAGCTTTGAATAACAACTTTAAAATGGCCCTATTTTGGTAGGATCCTTCCAGCATCTCCTAATCCATACAAGTCATTTTTTTAATGCTCCACTTTAAAAACATTTACTCCACTGCCCATAAAGCTGCATAAGCAGCAGGGCCCGTAACCTCTTGAACCACACATGTGCCAGGTGATCACGAGGGACTGCTCTCCCTGAAGAGAGTGGAGATTTGAACTCACAACCTCTGGGTTTGCAGCCAGGTGCTTCAATACACTGAGCTATACAGGCAACCCAAACAAATCCAGCTTTGCTTGGTGCAGAAATCCAAGCAAGCGAAGAAGGGGATGTATCACGAAGGCAACACCAGCATTACGTCAGACTGCACAGGGAAGCCATTGAAATCCACAAGCACCAGAAGAACTTCACCAAAAAAGGAAAGTTTGAAACTGAACAAAACTTGGCTCCCAGCTCTCAAAAATACAGCATGCAAAAGGTCACGAACTCTACCCAACCAAAGGTCAAGGGGATCACTACCATCAACCACAGTGACAGATAATCTCCTTATCACAACAATACGCCCACAACAAAACACACTAATCACCCATCCACAGAAAACAATACACCCACAACAATACACACTAATCATCCCATCTCACAGCCATAAATACTCCACTCCCAAAGCCAACTACACCAGAGCACAGTTTGCTGTCCTCTGAAGATGCCGGCCACAGAGACTGGCGAAACATTAGGAAAAACCACCTTCAGAACATGGCCAAGAAGCCCGAAAAACCCACAACAACCAGAAGAAGGGGATCTTGCAGCCTCGGGGTCTAATTCAATCCACAAAGGATTCGGATCGGGCCCCAAAAAAGCGATGGCTCACATCCAGCAGTCCCTCTCCCAGGCCTCCGGCGTAATACATGCTGCTGAAGAAGATAATGGGATGATTTTTGCCCGATCTGCATCCCCTCCCAAAAAGAGGGGGGAATACTAGCTAGAATCCTGTTGGGGAAACGTAGCATGGAAGATCACATGTACATCCCTGTTTCGGCAAGTTGTTCCTCGCACATCTGATCATGAAATCAGGGGTGCAACCAACTGCATGAAGTACAGCCCCATAGGGGAAACTAATTGTGAGGTTATCATTCTATGCGTATTTTTTCACAGTGGAATTCCGGCCATTGTTTTTGTTGAGTTCACATGGCGCACTATCAGAGGCGGCCACTAGGTGGAACCAGAGAGTAGTTCCTTACAAATTACTTTTGTCAGCAGAGTAAATACAGGCCTAGGCTGTGTTCTATATATATAAACATTTCAACCTTTGTAGTTGTCTTCCGGAGAAATGGAAGAGAACAAGAGCTGAACACCCACATTCTCCCTGGTTTCTTACCCAACTGTTCCTTCCCTTGCATCTCCTCCTCCTCCACCACAGTCTTCTCTTCCCCATTTTCAGTGACAGAAGTGGGGGCTTGACTGCAGTTCAAAGCAGGTGGGACGGTCTTGCAGATCTCTCCCTTTTCAGGAGCTGTGTGGTCGAAGCGCACCACAATCTTGCGCACAGCGCCTGAATCTTGCAGCTTGCGCAGCTGCTGCTGATGCCGGGAAGGGGGTTTGGTAACTTTAGAATATCCGTCGCTCACCGTTCTGGTCTCGGCATCCTCTGGGGGCAGTGCTGGGGTGGGGCATCGGCTCAGCCTGGCAGAGTCTGGCCTGGGGGGCAAATAGGGGCGGGGCCTGGTGGGCGGGCGGGGCTTGATGATGCGAGCAGGCTTCTGGGCCGGAGGCGTGGCTGGAGGCAGGGGGTCCATAGAGGACATCTTCAGAGCAGGAGAATCATGGGCAGGAGCAAAGCCACCATGGCTTCATATCCTATAGTGAAAAAAGAGGCGGATATAGTTAGAAGAAGAATCAAGTTCCAATGGATCTAGGGGCGACTATAAGCTTTAGGCAGCTAGAGGACGGGAGCTACATTTGTATGTGCTCCCCGATATTAGGCAAGACAGACAGATAGACCAGTAGATACCTAAGTGAATTCTTCCTATGTTGATTCTATTGCTTCTAATGCACCACCAAGACACATCTGACTTATGCCAACCCTAATACAGTGATGCCTCGCAAGACGAATGCCTCACGCAACGAAAAACTCACAAGACAAAAGCATTTTGCGATTTTTTTGGTGATTCACAAGACAAATGTTTCTATGGCCGTGCTTCGCAAGATGATTCCCCCCCCTTTTTTTTGGTTTGTTTTAAATTGCACAACCATCAGTACTGCGCTTTGCAAGATGAAATTTTCGCAATACGACACGACTCGCAGAACGAATTAATTTCGTCTTGCGAGGCATCACTGTAAGTTTTTCAAGGTATGTATGATGTTGAAGGAGTGGCTTACTTCTTCCAGCCCCTCCCCCATACGTTTTTGGCCAAATGGGGATTCAAACTCTGGCTCCCCATTCCAAAGTCACAACAGGCTCAATGTGGAAGGAAGCAAGTCACTCTCTCTTTTTCTTCCCAGAAAGACCTTTATATTTTTAAGAGATGTTAATGTGTTTATAATTCATGACACATTTTAAGGACATTAAAACACAGCAGTAGGGATTAAATGCAAACCCACTAACAAAATACTGATCGCACCAGGAGCTGAAACTTGTAACATCAGTGCTCACATTTTTACCGCAACGAGAACTGCAACATAGACAAAGATAATAAACACAGGAGCAATATTTGAATACATTTTACTGATACAACTGAAGTGCACTCAAGCAAAATGAATAACTCGTTCAGTATAGTGGTACACCCTGAGTAAGGCAAAAAGTTTTGCATGGATCGTTACTGGCAGAGACGCAATAGTTTAGATCAGTTCCTGAATTTTATAGGGTTCCTATTTATCTCTGTACAGAGCCACAATCACAAAAGACGGGGCTCTTTCAGCAATGACCCCCATATATTCAAACTTCATTCCAAAGATCTTTATTACCGGACCACACAGGGCTTTTACAGTGGTGGCCCCATATCTGGGGAACGCCCTTATCCTTCCAGATAACCTTTTAGAGCTTTTTGCCCCTATCTGATGCACCTTAAAGACTTTATAATGGCATGCTTCCAGGTGCTGGCTGGATAGCTCAGTGAGTTGGGTATCTGGCTGTGGAGTCAGAAGTTGGGAGTTCAATTCCACGCTGGGCCTTCCTCACGTACAGCTAGCCTGGGCGGCCTTGAGCCAGCTGCACAGTCCCAGGGCACCCCCAGAAGAAGGGAAGGGTGAACCTCTTCTGAGTATTCTCCATCTAGAAACTCTGAAAAGGGTCAACATTAACTCAGAACTAACTTGTTCAGCAATACTGTTGTTGTTAGCATTATTGTTATGCTTTAGGAAAAATACTGTATTTTTCCGTATATAAGACTATACTTTTGTCTAAAATCTTTAAGACTAAAAATTGAGAGTCGTCTTATACACAGAAGTAAGCTGAGGAGAGAACAAAAACAAGTAGAGGGGAAAGCAGGGATTAAAGCGATCCTGCAGCACTTTGATCCCTTTCCCCCTGCACTTGCTAAGCCCCACTTAGATTTCTTAATTTTTGATTAGAAAAGGGGTGGCGCGTCTTATACATGGGGGCATCTTATACCCAGAAAAATACGGTAATGGAACCTCTGCTGATAGTGCCTTACATGAACTCAAAAAAGATCCTTTTTGGGACAGTGATTCCCTCGATCCCTCAACCTCTGTGTGTGTGTGTGTGTATGTGTGTGTGTGTGTGTGTGTGGTTAGGTCAGGCTCCCGCCCAGAAGCATTCCACAGTCATATGCGCAAGGCTTGGCAGCTTCCGCCTGAGCCCTGGCGTCATCGGTCAGCCCAGCCTGTGAAGCATGTCAACACCATTCATTCAGGACTCTGCATGAGCGAGAGACAACCCGGCACATCCTGCCCTCTGGGGAGTTTGCACACGCCGCGACCCATCTGGCTTTAAACAGGCCCCCGGGCCGACTGCCAATGCAGGCGCTCCAGCCAGATGGCATTTGGCTGGGTGCGGCTCTGGTCATCCCAACTGGGAAAAGATAAAGCCACAGGATTGCTCCACTTGACCCCCGTCCGAGGCTGCCCAAGAAAAGGGGAAAGGAAATGGAGACAAGAGTTCATGAATATGGCAAAACTGGAGGAAATTAGTCCATTGCACTAGAACTTAAATTTTTTTCAGGCTCTGGAAATAAGAAGCGGGGGTGACTAGCCAGACCCCAGAGAAGCAGTATGGATGGATAAGCCCCAGTGTCATTTTGTATCCAAAGTTGCATGAGCAGAGCAAAAGCTACAATCGTTGTGTTGTTAAGATATTAAGTGCTCATGCATGCACAAGCATGCACACGGGTAGAACCAGCCCCACCATCAAAAGGGTGCCACAGCCCACGTATTTCTGCGCAAAGAAATCTAACCCTCCATGGAGAGCTTAGTAGCATTTCTGAGAAAGTGAAGCAGGGGTTGCGGTTTTTCAAAACCAAAAAGTCAAGTTTCTAGTCCAAAACGCAAAGATTTTTAACAGTCCACCGAAGTCTCTGAAAAGTGGCGCGGGGCTGGTCAACAAGAAGGCCTGTTTCTATGGCGGGAGGCAATTCTGGGCAAAATTTGAATCCCATTCTCTTCGATATATTGGTCAGAATCTGCAATACAAACGACTATCCGTGAAATTAACTACCGTATTTTTCGCTCCATAAGACACACCTTTCCATAAGACGCACCAATTTTTTAGGAGAAGAAAACAGGAAAATATAATCTGTTTTCTTCGCTCCATAAGACGCACAGACTTTCCACCCCCCTGTTTTGTGGGGGGAAAGTGCGTCTTATGGTGCGAAAAATACGGTAAGTTTGCACTACTGATGCTAAGTGCTCAGGTGATCCTCGGTGCAGAACGTGGCATGGCAGAACAGCGACGCACACAGCAAATTTCCTTCCAGGTATGAACACAGTGTCTCTAAACCTTTGGGTTAAACATTGCACTCCACGCTTTGTGAGGAAGTGAATTATAATCCCTGGATTTTCACACTCAACTAAATCTTAGCCTTAAAGGTACCACCATGGCCTGGTATGGTATGGTCTCCCAACACCTCCGCTCTGACACCCCTGTTTCCAGTCCCTTGTAAGAAAACCACTATCCGCTCTATATGAAGTCTCCTGAGTCTGAAAAGTGTGCATTTTGCTCCCCCAACGCTGCAAAACACACAGACAGACAGACAGACAGGCAAGACACACCCTCCTTCCACCCCAGCAGCTCAATTCCCTTGCTGACTGTTCTTTTTAAAACCTGGCCTACATTGCATCTCCAGAAAGCACGTCCTAAATCCTGCTCCTCAGAAACACCCTTGAAAACACAAATACAATGGGCATGCATGCATTATCCCCCCCCCCCGTGCCTTTCTAACCTCCAGCCTATTATCCTTGCCTCACCTTACCTGATCGTTCAGAGCCACTGGGCTCCTTCTAAATCACTGCCAGGCAGAGCCAGGAGTACTAAAACACCATGAAAACATGCATCTCGCATCCATGAAACCTGGGGGGAGATGCAGTGGGGCGGAGGGCTGGAGGTGGTGGGGAGAAAGAGGAAAGGCGCGGGAGTGAAGTCATGACAGCTGCCTCGCAGCAGACAGTTGGAGGAGATCAGCTGCTAGCTAGATATTTTGGGCCCGTCGAGTGGGTGGGGAAAATCAGACGTTGAGCCCGGAGATAGGGCCCGAAAAGAGAAAGAGGGAGAGAAAGGAAAAGGGTTTGGGGTTGTAGAAGAGGTAGCCGTGATCGTCTCTACCAGCATTATAAGAAAAAAGGGGTCGCCCAAGAGAATGGAAACATGGAAACTAGTCGGCTGCTGGCGGCCTCTGACCAATGGACAGTCCACTTTTCACTTGCCGCCGACTTATGATCTGCAAGGGAATAAAAGGATCTTTTGTGCCTCGGGGGGGTTAGTGTAGTGGCATTTGATGCTCCCCACACGAGTCCAAAAATATACCAACACGTAAGAATCCTGCTGAGGTGACAGGATGAGCCTTGGTTTCACTACATCGCCAGTAACTGGTCCGAAAGGAAAAAGAAACAGATCGGAACATCTGGGTTGATAAATGCTCTCGTATTTTTCCGTGTATAAGACTATTGTCTAAAATCTTTAGACTAAAAATTGAGGGTCGTCTTATACATGGAAGTAAGCTGAGGAGAGAACAAAAATAAGTGGAGGGGAAAGCAGGGATCAAAGCGATCCTGCAGTGCTTTGATCCCTTTTCCCCTGCACTTGCTAAGCCCCACTTAGATTTCTTAATTTTGGATTAGAAAAGTGGGGGGGGGATCTTATACATGGGGGCATCTTATTCACGGAAAAATACAGTATTTCTCCCCCAGGAACATGTTGGAGTTTTATTTGCACATGCCATCTGTGATGAGAGTGAGCGGGAGGAACTTTTCAGGGCTTGGGGCGATTCTATATCTACCCAGCACTAAACAATCGTTCCTTCCAGCCTTTAAATTCAAAGAGAGCCCTGTTTGTCTGCTGAGTGTTCTTTTCTACCTCCCTTTCCTGGATTGCAGCCAATTGCGCATGGTTTGTTTTTGTTGTTGTTGAAGATCTGTTCAGTTGGTTGCCAGATATGTGTGCAGGAAAGAAAGCAGTACAAGTCTGTAACTTCAAGCAACGGTGAGTAAAGATTCATTTTTAAATGCTTTCTCCTACAAATGTCTCAGGGTGAGTTACTGAGACTTTAAGGGTCAGTTAATGAGAAACAGCTGGGCTCTGGAAAGCTTGCAGCTCCTGTTCTTTGTGAGCCTCTGTACTTCTACTGTTGTGTTTTCCAATCTGGTGTCCCCCAGATGTTCTTGGAATACAGCTCCCAGAAACCCCG